AGAAATAGCAACAGAGACGGAGACCGGGGTGGCGGTGTTACAGGAAAGAGAAGAGTGGAGACGGCAGGCTCACTCTCTTCTTCAGATGATAGTCTCCATCAGAAAGCCAACAGCAGTGGGATTTCCTGAAAGACCTGGGCTTGTTTTGTAGTTGGTTTGTTGGTTTGTTGGCGACAGGGTTTCTCGTATCAAAGGTTGGTTTCCAACTCGACATGTGTTGGAGAATGACCTTGATCCTCCTGCCCGCACCTCTCTAGTGCTGGCCTCCTAGGTGTGTGCTGCCATCACCACCGATTTCTGCAGTGCTGGGCTGGACGCTCCAGGCCTGCCGGGGAAGCGTTCTCCCGGGTAAACTTCAAGCCCGTTCCCCAAATCTAGATGGTAAAAATTAGAAATTTCTACTTTTGAGCTGGAAGGATGTGTGGAAGGGGAGGAAACTAAGAGCCAGAGAAGAAACAATATGTTTTTGGTCATAAGTTAATAAGAGCCTAGTACAAAGGATGCATCTGAGGGCTGGGGTGTTGCTCAGTTGGCAAAGTGTTTGACATAGACGCCTGAGAGCCTGAGTGTCATCTCCAGGACTTATGAAAAAGCCGGACATGCTGTTACACACCTGTAATCCCAGAGCTGGGAGCTTCGCTGGGGCTCGTCAGCTAGTCTCACCAAAGCTGAGCTAGGTTCTCGGGAAATTTTCAAAAAATAAAGAGGAAAGCTATCGAAGAAGTCACCACTGGCATCAGCCACTGGCCTCCACACGTATGTGGACACAGACACACACAGACACACATACCAATTTGTTCTCTTAAGCCATTAGTATGCGTGTGTGTGTGTGTGTGTGTGTGTGTGTGTTAAGTTGCTGAATGAATACTTTATACAACAGCTTTAGATCTTAACTCAACAGCATGTGTCCCACGGCCCAGTCTTTTGTGCACACTAACAAACCACGAGTTACTTGCTTGTGCAGCTCTGGCAGGTAGTCGGTCGGGTTTAGGCTTGGGATGAGGAATCTGAAATTGAGGGATACCAACCAGGACATTAATTGCTCTCCTTCCTTTCCTCTCTTTCAAACCATTGGCAAAGTCGAGCAAACATTTCTCAGATACCTCATGAAGCCCAATATCCAGGGAAGGAGCTTTGGAGCAGGGGCAGGTGATGTGCGTGGGAGAGTCAGTCCTGAAGGGTGCTCATGTCATTCTGTATTAAAACTATGGCCACAAAGGAAGTGAGGAGCACGGGTTCAAGGGAGAAACCTGGGAGATGCCTCCAGCCCATCTATTCTTCATCTGAGGCAGTGTGAGGAAGAAAACTGAACGGCTATGACTCAGACAGGGGTAGATTCAAATGGTGCCAGAGGCTGTCTTGGGCACATTTGCTTTGCTAGGTCCATTTCCTTCTCTGCCAAATGGGGATAATGATATCTTAAGATCTTCTAAGTATCACCATTAAATATAAGTACTCGGCAGACAGAGATCATTGGTCTTTTATCTGTGATACTTGTCCAGTGTTTAATATTACTGGGCCCTGAGGTACTTGGAATAGGTGAATTTCTTCTTTGAGCTCATCCAAGACCTAGTCCTGGCTCCATGACTCAGGGACTCTGGGCGTTTAGGGGATTTCCTCCCATCCCTCGAATCTTTGTCTTCTTGCCTGGGAAATAGGCTGGAAAAGGTCTCTTCTGAGCCACTTTCTATCTAACATTTGATGGGTCTGAGTCCTCCAGATACACTGTATCCCTCTGCGGGCTAGCACAAATGAACAATGCTACCCACTAATGAAACAATTACAAGTCAGGAATCACTTTGTATTTGCAGACACACCTACATTTAAAACAGATTCGAAGCACTTCTGGCCTACTTTCACCTCTTTAAAGGCCAATTTTTTTTAACCTTCTTTTATTTGTTTAGGAAGATGAAATCTGGGACAAGTTGCCACTAACACATTTTATGCAGCTCCTGCCTCGGTGGCTAATTGCGCTATTACTGTGATTGATGAAGGCTGTGCTGCAATCAGCAGGAAGCGGCTGCCTTCCACCAAACAGAAAGGAGGTCACAGGGCAGGGCGGGGGGGGGGGGGGATTGCCATCTCGAAGGCAGGCCTGTTTGTCTGTTGCCTGGAGAAGAGCTGGCTCAACAGTGCCTGACTCTTGATTCCTGTCGTTCACGAAGATGCTTGGCTCCCCTCGACTGGCTTCTGAGTAATTTCTGAAGTAGAAGATTCAGCCTTTCCCTGGACATGCAATATTGCTGAATATGGGCACTGAAACACCCAGGCGTTATGAGAACTCCGATGTGACATTTCAGCACTAAGGTGGATGGGTGTCCTTGCACAGAGAAAACAGTGAGCTTCCATGACACTGTAATGTATAAAGCACGGGGGACCCAAGCCCTGAGAAGGGAATGTACTGTCTTCTTGTTGCTGTTTGTTTGTGTTTGTTCCCCTTAGTCAAAGATGCCAACGGTCGGAGCATAGAGACCGCTCAGGTCCCTGCCTGGGAGCCAGACAGGTATTCAGGCATTGCTCCACGGAGGCAGGGACACAGACCAAGTCAGCACTTGGCCTTAAGGAACGATGGGCGTTCCTTGCCCATGGGATCTGGTTGCCTCAGAAACTCTGCCGAACACTGGCTATCCATCACCTCAGATTAGCCCGGGCAGTTGAGCAATTTGTTAGCACACCACAGACAGACATCTTTTCTCAAGCTGGCTTGGATCTGCCGACACTGGCAGGATTCCAAGCGTCATATCACATCTATCAGAAAGAGCTGTGGTAGAGAACGCTGCACAGACTTTGGAATGGGCTTCCTGGGTTTGAATCCCCAATCTACCATTTGCTGATTATTTTGACCTTATGCAAACCGGAGCCTCATTTCCTCATCTTTAAATGAGGCTGATTAAAGTGACACCCTTGAAAAAAAATGTTAGCAAGATAAATAAGTTAATACACGGACGTTGCTGGGAACAACGTTTCGTGCAATGTAAGCGTGATGTCCAGCAGCAGCCCTGATGAGATGGAAGGTCCAGACGTCCTAAATTCCAAACCTAAACTCTGTCTTCTCCAGTGTGTCAAAGAAATGCAGCATGCCCACGGAGCCGGCTCTGTTTGGCTCTTTCATGTGATCACTGGACCCAATGCCAGCTGTGCCTTTCCACTACAATGAGCTGATTTCGAAACACAGAAAACTGAGATATTTTCCCCCTAAAACACACACTGAATACTAAGGTAACACACTAGGGCGGGAGGCTGTGGAGTCGAGCTGTGGTTGGGAAGAAAGATCGTCAGGAATTATGGGTGGCTCCGTGTCATTATTTCAGCTAAAATACAGGTATGTTCCAGTGTCCCTAGCAAACCAGAACCAAGAGCTAACCACCTCAGGGGAAATTTTACTCCTCCCTTCCCCAGGCTTTTGATGAAGGGACTTTAACAGAGTTAGCCATCCCTGTGATAGATGCTAGTCCAGGGAAAAAGAGGACAGAGGTGTGACACCTCATCCCCTCCACCCCCTGCCCCAGGATTATATCCCCTTGGATTTAGTCTGCTTTGATTCACCTTTTCCACTTGGGATGCTCAGGAGTGCCTGACAGATTAAAGAAATGCACAGGATGAGAGGAAGACCCTGTGCAGAATGGATTTACAGGGAGGTTTGACCCTGGAAAACAGTAGGTCATGATTCTTGCTCTTAAGCCAAGGACACTTGGGGAGTAGAGATGGACAGACTGATAACAGCGGCACTAGGACAGACGGGATGGGAGGATGAAGGATTTCCACGAATCCTTTTCAGCTTGAAAAACAGGTCCTGACTTTGAAAGCTCTGGTGCCTGCCCAAAAGACATGCTTGCTTTAAAAAAAAAATATTCTTTTGGACAGGGATCTGCAGCCCAGACTGGCCTGGAAAGCTGACCCTTCTGCCTCAACCTTCCATACTCTAGTATTACAAGGGTGATCCCCTGCTCCCATCTGATAGAAGGCATGTTTTAAAAGAGAGAGATTTTCGGGGAAGGGATAAAGTTCAGAATGAACCCGTGTTGTTGACACTAGCACAGCCATGTCCAAGACCACAGTGCCTTGGATCCGTGGGAACAGCAAGGCCTTTTCCTGGTCCACTAAGGATGTATCAACTACAGCTTCCTGCTACTGGTGACTACAGCCTGAGCCTGCTCCGGATGGAGACCCACGCACACACACATACCTCCATCAGCTAACCTGCCTCCTCACTTGGCTGAGTTGGAGGACACTGAGTTTCTGGCTGCTGGTGGCAGTCTCCCTCGGTGCCTGCAGCCAGCATATTCCAGCTTGTCTGTACCTGCGTCTGTGGGTCCTTCTCTCCCAGCCACTGTAGGCAGATCCCTCCTGAAGCCACGCAGGTCACAGCACACATTTGTCTGTGAGGCCTGGCAGCTGCCTGTCAGAATCGGAAACCTTGGAGCCCACTAGTCAAACTAGAGAAATCTGGGAGTGATCTCATCGGCTTCAAACTTTTCAGATTCTGGGAGCCCGAGAATCGGTGACAAATTTTATGACATTCCCACAGTCAAGAACCAGCGGGAGAAACTGGGTGTGGTGTTACACATGTGTAGTCCCAGCACTGGGGAAGCTGAGGAGGGAGGATTAGGTTCCAGGCCAGCCTGAATTAAATAGGAAGTCTGAGGAAAGCTTAGGGCTACATCTTGAGGCAGAGAGCAGCTAAAGAGGTGAGACCATCCCTGTCTGCCTTGCTCTTTTCTCTCCGTCTTGTCCTTGTGCTTTTAGATGACAGGGGCCTTTGACATTTTGCAGATGAAAAATCCTGTTCTTTCAAGTGTGTTTCTGACTCAGCCTCTGCTCCCTCAGCAACGCTAGAGCCGGAGCTCTCCAGAGATTAGACCGTCCTGTCACCACAGCAACTGCCCAGGCCCTGTGGGCATCCGTGGTAACAGGCTCAGGGCTTTGCCCAGCAAAGCAAGCAAAGCGTGGCTTTCAGAGAGAGATGCCCACAGGGAGCCTCTCAGGAAGCAAGCGGACTGTACTTGGAGACATTTTCTTTAATAGGATTAGCTGTGCGGGTGGGCCTCACTTTACACACTGGCCAGCCCCTGAGGCGTGAGTGTGGGAGGGCTATCTTGGTAAACGCAGGAACTTTCATTTTAAGGGCAGAAAAGATCCCTTCCAAGTCTCTGTAGTGAACATCCTTCATAAAAGGGAGTTTTCTGTTTAAAAGGACTCTCCTTCACCCACACAGTAGCCCGCGCCGCTGGTATCTGTAATTGGGGCCCTCTGCCTGCTTGGGGTCGGTAGCGGACAGTAACAGAGAGAAGCAGGGTGTAAGTGGGCGTGAGGAGGGGAGGCGGGAGGCTGGGGCCTAGCATGAGCAGTTCTGCCGCAGGAGGGGCGGGGTGTCCGAGAGACGCGTGGTCTTGGAGGCGCCCAGCACGGAGGGGTCTGTGTCCAGCGAGTCGGACATCTTCTCACAGATGGCATCCACCAGACGCTCGAAGGCCTGCCTCACGCTGATGTTCTCCTTGGCACTGGCCTCAAAGAAGTCAAACCCTAGGGAGAAAAAGAGATGTCAGAGCTCAGGCATGAAGCAGGGAGACCTAAGTCCATGCACAGAGGGTTCTGTGTGAGGGTCCGGGGTTGCCGGAACACGTTTCAGCTTTTGTTTGTGTGTTTGTTTTGGTTTTTCGAGACAGAGTTTCTCTGTGTAGCCTTGGCTGTCCTGGACTCACTTTGTAGACCAGGCTGGCCTTGAACTCACAGAGATCTGCCTGCTTCTGCCTCCCTGGCTGCTGGGATTAGAGGCGTGCGCCACTATGCCTGGCTGCCCCAACACCTTTTAAAGCCAGGTAGATCTTGGCTCTACCAGTGACAATTTAATCCTGGGCAAATCACTTATCCTGCTGACAAATGAACCTCCTGGTTTGTAAATGGAAATACTGTTGTCTAACTTGCAGAATTACTTCAATGTGAACTGAGCTGAAATGCCTGTGACTTGTATAGCCTGGTGCCTTGGGAGGAATGTGGGGGATGTCGGGTGTGAGCTGAAAGAGTGGGTGCCTATGTACGGAACCCCAAAGCATTTGGCCAATCCTGAACTCACTCTCTGTCCAGGTGGTGGCTGGGGGAAGGAAGGGAAGGGATGCCAGCCATGTGCTCTTCAGATCACCTACAGCCTGGGGAAGTAAGCTGGCACGTCATGGTAAGGAAAAGCCCCCGTGTGGAAACCCGGCTTCTAGACTTTCTGTTGCTTTTGTCCTGCTTGGGGATAGCATCTAGGGCCCTGCACACCCTAGGCAGGCACTCTACCATCAACTCCACACATGCCCAGTCCCTTTGGGGACCTTTGAGTCTTCTTTCTTCACCTCCTCCCCCATCCTTCTAAGCTCTAGTCTGGGCTCTGGAAGACAAGGTCACACTGAATAAGTGAGGTTCTGTTTGCTCTTCCCCTTCTGAAGCCTCATGCTTTCTCTTCTGGCATCCTTAGCATCTCTTCAATGCTATGCACCAAGCTAGAAACTTTACAAATACCCTCCCATTGAACCTGCACAGCAGCCTCATGGGTAAGTATCAGCATCCCAGCTGATACACTGATACACTGGAAGATAAATGTTCCAGGAGATTGCGGAGCTCCCACAAGGCTGTTGGTGGGAACTGAGTGTGGTCTCAGGGTTCCCTGGCTCCAACATCTATACACAGCCCTGCTCTTCTTCTCTTTGTTTTGCATCATTCAATTCAATCCTGTCTGCCACTGTGGGGGTTTCTTCCTCTTATTTCTTTGTTTTGTTTTGTTTCTGAGACCGAGTTTCAGCAAATAGCCCAGATTGGTCTGGCACTCTCTAGCTCAGGCTGGCCTGGAACTCGTGATCCTCTCCCTCAGCCTCCCAAGTAACTGTGATCACATATCACAGGCCAGTGCGAATACACCAAGCTTTCTTTCCTTTCCTTTTTTTTTTTTTTTTTAACAAAACTGTTTGCTTTTATCTGACTGCCACGGAGTCTGAGTCTGGGCAAGCTACCACACTTGTCTGGATCATTTAACCTCTCTGATTCTCAGACTCCTCATTCGTCAGGTGGGAATTATAGGTCTCCCACAGAGAGCGATTGAGTGAGACAAAGGGTAAATTGCTCTCGGAAAGCTGTCTGTTACAGTGACAGCTCTTTCTGATGCTCTTTCATCCAGCCCTTTCACCTCTCCATCTCTCTTCCCTGAGAGAAGTCGCTTTCCACCTCCTCCTTCTTCTTATGCTGTCATCTACTGAAGAGCTTGAAGCCCAGGTACAAACAAGGCTCCCTTTCCCTGGCCTCACAGCTTGAAAGCTCTCACTCCTTCTGCCAGCTCACCTCCAGCTGAAGCCCTCTCCCGTGGCCTATTTCCTGACCTGAGAACAGCCAACTAAGGAAGCACTTGCTAATTGCAGACATGTGAAGAAGAAAGAGGCAACTGTTGGCTCATTATCTTCAGGCCTCAGGAACCCAGCAGCTTCAGAGACTCCTCTAGCATACAGCTCTTCCTTAATGAAGACCACAAAAATGGATTCCGTGGTCCTCTGACTAGCTGGCCTAGGAAAGGGGCTGGAAATACGTTTCCACCATCAGTATGGATGAAGATGAAGACACAGGTCAAGGCCAGCCACAAATCCTTTCTGAGGAATTAGCACTGACTAGGGGTGACCACAAAATACAGGTGGGCAGTGGGAGGAGGCTGGAAGCCAGCCTACATTTCGGTGTATTTCTATCAGCCCGGGCAGGCAGCCTGATTGTTTTCAGCCTCCACGTCTTCATCTGTAGGAGAGGGTGACCACACCTGCCTCTCGGGGAGGATCGGGAAGTGACTGTCATGTGGCTGGGATGCAGAGAAATTCACCCCACTCACTCTAATCTCTAGTCTATTCCACGGTCCCCCAACTTTGGGGGCAGGGAAACCCTCTTTTTCTTCAGCATTCAGGGTCAATCAACACAGATTTTTATGGAACGCTGACATTTTGCCAAATCTTTCGCTAAGTGCTAAGGACCTGGGGAGATCAAACCTAGTTCTGAAGACTCATTAGAGTCTCCATCATGCATATCTGCATCGTTCTTAACAGCTCACAAACAGAATCTTAAACAGCCTTTGGAGGGAGGGAGGGAGGGAGGGAGGGAAGGAAGGAAGGAAGGAAGGAAGGAAGGAAGGAAGGAAGGAAGGAAGGAAAGGCAGGCTTATCACTTCTTCAGGGGGTTGGAAAATCAAAGCTCAAAAGTAAGGGAGAGAGCAGGGACCCATGGCGTGTCTCCCGGATTTACTCTCACTTGGAACAGTGACAGAACAAGCTATTACATTTCTGCATCAAATTGTTGACCTCTGCAGCCAGAGGTCAAAGAGGAATGCAGGAGAGGGAAGAAATGGCAAGGGAAATAAAGGCAGGCAAGTTATTGGGAATGCAAGCCCTTACTGCTAGAACTGAGCAGAATTCACTGAACTGTTTATTTTGTGGGACTGCGGAAGGGCTTTCCGTTTCCTCTGCCGTAAGGCCTGTCCCCCATATGTGGTGGAAATCCATCCGACTGGGAGAGCCCTGGGAAGGGACTGAGCCATTCATTGGTGCTCCAGCCGGAATGGAGGGGTAGGAGCTTGGTGGATGTTGGTCGAATGGCCGAAGTAGGAAGGAGCATTGCAGGTGTAGCCAGCGGAGGTCACGATAGCATGGCACAGGCAGAACCTGTGCTGTGCTCCAGGGACACTGAGGTGACTCACAGGTCGCCCCTCACCTCGACAAGCTCCCAGTCCAGTGTAGAGGAAGGCATACACATCAATACGGCGGTAAGTGTTGGAACAGTGGAAGCCAGGGGATACTGAGGACCAAGTCTGAGAGCTGATCGAGGCTTCTCGGGGACGATGCCGAGGCAGGCACCAGCTGGACACAGACGCAGGACTGGGAGTGTACACGTGCGTGTCTGGCACAGCAGGCAGGAAAAACCCGCGTGACCACAGGAAAGGGGGCTGAAAACAGCTCTCCGTATACTGAAAGGACGATGACGGCTTGTTTTCAGCCGTGGTGGGATAGGCTAACGGTCTCTCCATAGGAGACCAAACATGGAGGCCCGATAGAATGTCTTTGCCGTTGTTTCAAAAGTACCCAGAGTCTGCGAATTCAGCTTCAAACTCCCACCTCACAGGCCTACTCAGCTCAGCACAGCCTGCAGGGCACCTTCAATTTCTGTCAGGTTCTGGAAGGCTCTTTATTAGCAGGACCAGGCAGTAACCTTTTCCTCTGCCTCATTACTGAAGTGTTTCAGGAGCTGGGAGTCTAGTGTGGCACGGAAGATGACAACCAATTAAGCAGACTAGCCACCCTGGTCCCTTCCTCCCTCTAATTGGCTTCAGAACAATGGAACTTCTGCTGTCTTTAATGGAGTCCAGTCCTCAACTGAATCTGAAATGGTCCCCATTTCCAAATTGTTTGGTTTATCCAGATCGCCAAATCTCTATCGGATAGAGACCCACAGCCCGAGCCCACACCTGCTTCTCAGAGTGACCTCAGATTCTGTCTGGAGACTGGCAAGCAGCTAACCCCACTTCTTCCCGCCACCTGCCCCTGAGTGCGGCCCGGCGGACAGTGAGGGAGGCTTCCATAACCTCTGAAACAGTGTGAGTGCTCACATCAGCTGCCACACCGAACGACACAGAATAGAGGGTCCTAGCAAACTAGCAGAACTCAGAACGGGCCCAGAACAGGGTGGTGGCTGCTTCCCCCATCTCCTTGGGAGTTCCGTCAGGGGCTGGCGGCCTGGCACCTCCCATAGTGCCAGTGGGAAGGTTGGCTACCCCAGAGCTGGTGCCTATTCCCCATTGGTCCAAAGGCTATGTAAAAATACTTGCTGCTTACACCTGCACCTTGATGTGGTCTCCACAGTCTGTTTCCTGGGTTCATGATTCAGTCTCTCTCACCCCCTCCTGGATCCCAGTTCCCACACCATGGCTTATTAACGTAGCCCAGGCTAGCCCCAGTCCTCCTGGCTCAACCTCCCAAGCATCAGGACAGCAAACAGTAGACAGCAAAGTTATGGGCATATTTTGCCATGTTTTTTGTTTTTACTTTGTGGTGTTGAAAATTGAACTCAGAGGGCTGGAGAGATGGCTCAGAGGTTATGAGCACTGGCTATTCTTCCAAAGGTCCTGAGTTCAATTCCTAGCAACCACATGGTGGCTCACAACCATCTATGATGAGATCTGGTGCCCTCTTCTGGTGTACAGGTGCACATGCAGGCAGAACAGTGTATAAATAATTTTTAAAAAATGGGGGGAAAAGAATATTTCTGCAAAGCTGTATCCTTAAAAGAAAAAAAGAAAGAAAAAAAGTAAATTGAACTCAGAGCCTCTCACTAGACAAATACTGCATCACTGAGCTGTATCCCCTGACCTGTTAATTTTTTTTTTAACATCTTTTCCCATTTTATTTCAGCCGTGCTCTTATAGGAAACTTGGGCTATTTTGTCTTGGATTTGTGTCACTGGAACTGAAAGAATTCTGAGGAGCTCCATATCAGTTCATTGGCTTAAAGCCCAAGACCCTG